GCGCAGGGGCTCAGAAGCGCGATTAAAAACCGGCCCCCCCCCGCACCAGCGATGCGGATCGGAGTGGCCTTGCCCCGCGGGACGAGCCCCGGGGCCGCCCGGCGCGGCACCTCTCTGTCCTCGGGTCGCGCTGCTATTGACGCTCAACTTTGAGGTCACTGTTATCGTTTCATTAAAAACGTAAAGAAAGTAACGGCACAGAGGGGTCTCCTTGTCTTAACCTCATAGTTTTCCCCCCCATCTGGCCCCCAGGAACACACCCCACCCCATTCTGGCTTTGGGTGCACAGCACCTGCCCTGTACCGGGAGTAAAGGGTGACTAAGCTGTTGGGTGGTTCCCCCCACCCCCAAATAGTGCTTTTATTTCCTTCACCCGAGGCACCCGAGTTCCTGCACACTGAGCAACCTGGCACCACCCAGATGGTTTGGAGCTGTACACAAAGCCAAGAGGCAGCACTGCAGTCTCTCTGCTCTGGAGATACTTGAAACCCACCTGGACATGACCCTGTGCAACCTGCTCTGGGTATACCTGCTTTAGCAGGGGGGCTGGACTAGGTGGTCCCCAGAGGTCCCTTCCAAATCTCCCCCTTCTCTGATTCCAGGCCTGCCCAGAAACAAGTGCTTGGCTCAGGAGCCCTTTACTGCAACTCCTTGCAAGGCCAACCTCAAACTTCATGGCAACCCAAGTAAGTGCCCTCCTCGCCCCCTGTTTGCAAGATTCAGAAAATCCCATGTTTAGCAATGAATTCTGAACAAGCTACACAGAAGATGGTTGCACTCTATCACAAAATAATTGTTTTCTTCATACTACAGATAAAAAATTTGCATAATTTACATTAAAAAAAAAGTCCCACAGCACTTCCACTTTTTTATTATTTCAGGAACAGAACTAGCAGAAGAAATCACTGTATGAGGAACACCACTTCAGCTACATCTTTGGTTTTATTCAGTTAAACTGTTTAATAGAACTATGAATAGGAAAAACATATAAACAGCAGCAAAAAATTAAAGCTTTGTCATTTAAATATTGCATAGGCACCATATGGTTTTTCATTACATTCTTTGTTAAAGGACTAGAGCCAGGTGATAGGCAACAAACCCAGGTGTCCTGTGGTGACAAAACAGTGACCCTCAACCCCTGAATACCCCATAAGGGCCTCTGGTACAAAGGCATACTTTTATTCCCAGTTATTGTCCAAAAAGCCTGTCTAGTCAGGATGCTGAGCAACACTAGGAACAGGCTGCCAACAACTCCTTTCACCTCTAGGGAATGTATCAAGGCCTTACACAGGTGAGAATCCTTAAGAAAAAAAAAAAAAGAGACTGGGGATGGGAGGAAAAAGAAGGAGAGGAGCTAAGGGCATGCTCCAGCCTCATCAGAAACAAAATTAAAAATTAACCTCTTTCCTATGAGGTGTCACTGCCTGATGGCCACGAAGAGTGAGTAAAGCTGCAGTGGAAACTGCAAGGACAGATGAAATGTTCACTGAGCAAGTGGGTTGTTTCCTGTGTCATCAGGAAGTTGGAGACCTCTGTGCTCAGGTACACAAGGAAAGAGTTGTTTTAAGTGGCAGTTGCTGTGTATGTCTGAGTAGCTGTTACTCTATCCAAGCCTAAGATTAAGACCACAGAAGTGGGTTCAGGTACAACTGAAAAAACTAGTGCAAGAAGAGTAGCCCTGTTCTAAAGAAAAAGAAATTATTGTGTAACGGTGGCTCTTCTGCCAAGACATCTCCTGTTTAGGGAGAGCAAAACCTGCCACAGAACAAAATGCTGGAAGTTTTGTTGTGCCGGATGAAGAAGAGGAAGGGATGATCCGCAGTGAATTCTGGAACAATCATTGCACAGCGCAGCATCATCACTCCTGCCGTGGCAGCTGCTGCTTCAGTGCCTTCTTCATTGACTTCCACAAAGGACTTGTGAACCACTTCAGAGAGCACCAGCTCGTTGCCAGCTGAGATTCCAGAGAACTCTGCCTTTCTTAAGTCAAATGCATCAGGCATTCCCATGCTGCTCAGGAGGGGTTTCAGATCATAGTCTTCTTCCAGCTTAAATCTGGGCAAAGACACCTGCACCTCTGTACAGTCCATCATTTCAGGATTGATCCAATCTATCAGCTTCTCATAAGTAAGTTCTCTTTCCAGCTAAAGAAAAACCCAACATTTACATAATTAAAATGAGAAGGGAGTCAGTTTTACACAGCCAAAAGTGGCAATTCCTGTGTTTGTTTACAGAGTGCATAACATGCATCTTTTTTCCCCAGCGTTTAGAGTGTCTCAAGCCAATAGTGAAAGTTACACTTCTCACTCGAGGCTACGGCCCCAGCTGAGAGCAAACCCATATGCTTTTTGGTAGATACAGTAAGGCTCAGTCCCTTACACGTAAAGTCTACTTCTAAAAATCACGTTACATTGGGGTTTTTTGTGTTTTTTGTTTTTTTTTGTTTGTTTGTTTGTTTTTTTTACATATGAGAAGCAAAGGCACAGAAGAACTGGTGACAAGGTCCCAAAGAATCTGAACCCAGACCTTCTGTCTACTGGAGATATTCCTTTGGGTTGACACGCCGATGACAAAGTCTTGATCATAATGCCTTTTGCAGTCAGTGTTAGAAAAACCTTATCAATAAATTCCTTGTCCAGAGCATGAAATAGCCAAAACTGGTATCGCACTTCCACAGCGGAAGACATCCTACACTTTCCCATGAGCCTGTTTCCAGGCAGTGGGCCAGAGACAATCTGCCAGCTGTTCAGAACAGAAGACCCATGGGACAAGCTACAGAACTTCCCAAGATCTCCCCAAATCCCCTCTCACCACACTACACCTTCTCCATAACCACAGCTAACCTCTGCTGCTGAGGAGGGTCAGGTCTTCTTGCAGAGCCTCTGGCTAAGGAGGCAGCACACAGCTTGACCAGTAGTGATACAAGGCATGCCAACCACTTCAGAGGCAGGGAGGAGTGGGGTATTTCAGCTGGTGCTGAGCACCGATGACATAGTAGCTTTGGAATTCAACTGCAGGTCTATACGCAGTATCAAACTTTCTTCCCTAGAAGGATACAGACTGTCTGCATTTAGCTCAACAACTTACTCTTTCCAAGCCAGTGGATCCATCCTGGATTGCATCAGGGAGCAGGATGATCATGCTGAGTTCGTTACTGACATAAGGGAGCTCAAGGATTTTGGTCTGGAAGTCCCCAATATAGGTCATGTTAAAACTACCCTTCTTGGACATCATCTGCACAGGTTTGGTCTCTGTCTAAAAAAATAAAGAGATGTCAACATTAGTACTGAGCTAGTATACTGGTCTCAAAATACTTATCTGGCACAGAGTTACTCAGAGCTTTCTAGAATTGACTCAAGAGAACTGAACACATCACAGAGCACAGCCCTACCACCATCTTTTGTAAAACAAGAGGTAAGAAGTAAGGATCCCCAAGATTTAATTTTTAATTACTGTTGCAGAAACATCTGTGAAGTTTCCTTTAAGACAAAGGGGGAAGGACACACATTTGCTCACTTAAGAACCAAGGACAAGCACTAAATAGAGCTGGTGAGAAGCAGGGCCCATGTCCCTTGCTTAAATTACTTTGTATTCATTTAAATGCAGGTATTTTCATTTTTAGTCCATGTGGCTCCAAGTGCTCTAACAAAGAGGGATTAAAATATACTAAAATGATACTAAAAATGCCAAGAAAGCAAGAGCATTATTTTGAATTCTTAAAAGTCACATGGGTAGGAAGGAGGGGTAAGATTTTTCTTCTCTATTTCATTCTCCCCTATCTCCTCCCATTTTCACATGGAGCATCAGCTACTCTTGTGTACACCATTATTTTCCTCTTTTTCAGTTATAATAATTAGCTTAAAACTTCAGGTTACACCTGGGATTTCCAACTGCTCATTTGAGCCCACTCACACTTCTGCAGCTCATCAGTGGTTAGTCATTAGTAGGATGAAAATACAAACTTAGGCTGTTTAGTTTTACAAAGAAAGAGATTTGCAGTTGTTTGCATATCTAAAAGTGAGTTCCTTAAGTAAGCGGCGGCAGCATTCCCCAACCTTCCAGCTTACAGGTTTCTCCAATAGTTATCTGGATCCCAAAGACTCTAATATTAAAAACAACGGCAATGACCACCTCTATGTTTACAAAGGAAAAGGTAATCTCAAAGATAGGCTGGGCCTTATTCCAGAAACATAAAAGTTTAGGTCATAAGCTCACCATAGCACAGTATCCAATGCAGAAACATCAACAAATTTGCCTCCTCAGAAGCGAAAGGAAAGAGCCCTGTGCGCATCTGTAAGCTTGGGCTTTCTGAGACATCTCTGTAGGAAACTGACGCCAAGCCTTCCACGTGAGGTAGCACCACACAATGTTCCATCAAAAGGCAGATTATTCATCAGCACTACATACTGCTAGTGTTGCATCTTAAAACCTGGTCCTCGGTTTGCACTGGCCCAAGGAAAAGAAAATGGAATGGCGTACCTGGATACTCTGCTAGCTTTTTCAACACTTTTCAACAGTGAGAGGGCAAGGTGTCAGGAATCAAGTCAGTCCAGTGGTTTCTGAAGCGCTGTAGTAGTTAATGTGGGGTGAGCTGTAACAGCCCCTATTTGTAAGGTGGTGTTACCAGTTTCAACCATTTTTGGCTTTATTTCACCACTGGGAGAGGGACAGTTTGAAGTCAGGCATGAGGGCTTCAATTTTGCACAATGTTTGTTTTAAGCAGGCGAGTTAAGTAAGCCATGCCACCAGTTCTTGGTAATGGCATCTGGAGGCACACACAGACTTTGAGGTAATACTAAGGTGCAGCCATGGCCTGCTAAGGATAGTTGCCAGGTCTTCTTTAATGGCATTGATTACTTCTAAAAGCAAGACAGCATAGCATAGAGGTCTTCAAAGGAGGTTTTTTCCCACTTATTTTGAATCAGTTCAGTGGTAGAAATGCAGCAAAAAAGCACTGACTGAAGAGGACTTGGATTCAGAAGTTTCTGCACATGTATAAGTGCTCTTTTTTGCATACAACCTAAAAGAAAATTTCTTAACCACACCAGTTTTATACTGAAATAATCAGGTTCACTGACTTCTGTAAAATAGTTCACAACTCAAATAGCCTGACAGCTTCACTCAACTGTTTTCTTCTCCTCAGTTGTTTTAAGTTCTGTAACTATGTAAAGGGCTACCTCTCTCACAGAAACAAGGGTAAAAGGAAAAAAGAAGAGACAGAATACTTAATTGCTATATTAAAGTTTCTAGTAATTACGTGAAACTTAACAGAAACTAAACAGAGTGTTCAAATTAAAAGGAGGCAGTATAAGGAGTTTCATACAGCCTACCCAAGGTAACCCTGCTTGAATGATTTTGTTTTTTTCTTCAGAGTTAAATACATTCATTTCAGAGTGCTTCAGAGTAAGAGAGTATTATCAGCATTTTAGCACATCATACCTTGTTAATTTGGAACGGCATTTCTGCTGTTCTCTCTTTGTTGAACTGCTTTTCCCAGTTGCCTTTGAAATAGATGGCATTCACCAATACAAGTCTGGTCTGCGAATCAAGAATCCCCTCCGTCAGCAGATTCCGAATTTTACCTTTATGATACATGGAAAAAACCCAACATTTTTAACAGTTTGATGTGTATCTAACCTACCGAATACAATATGTACTTTGTAGTTAATACACAATAGATAAGAGAATTGTGTACCAACAGCTCAATGGGTGTTTTTAACTCACAATATTAGATCTTGAACTAGTCGTTTACCCAAGCCCTGGCTGCCATTAAACAGGCATCATGCCAAACACTTACCTTCAGTTCTTTCCTCTACCCAGCCATTTATTTGTTTCCTGGAATCCTCCCAAGCATGCATGAAGTCAGTCTGTTCTAGTCCAGCATGGTAGAATTTCTGACTCAGCTCTATAAATGACTAACATGGACATTCAGAACAGCTTTTCAGCAACATACTTTATTCTCAGTCAGCCAGGTGATTCTTAAATACACCAAGAAAATCCACCCACTTTCCTGTCCCATCTTCATACAGAGCCATTAAAGTTTTGTCTGATACATTCCTATTAGGTTTTATACCACCTATTTGAACTAGGAATTGTCCACTGTATGTTAAATCAAATGGCTTGTTTCCTATGCTACAAAGTTCTATGTATCTTAAGTGACGTGACCAGTTTTTGGGTTTCTTTGTTTGTTTGGTGGGTTTTTTTTTCCCCTTCAGTGAAAGAACAAATTATTTTGTAAGCTTCTCTCTACCCAAGTTTCATTGTTAAACCTCCCAGGCCAATAGAAAACTTCTAGTTCAGAGGGTAAACTGATTTTTTCTTAGAGAGGAAAAAGCAGCTTCTCTCTGATTTAATATAGTTAGATCTTTATTACACAGATGCAAAGTTTTAGAGTATAATCCATGTAATCTTTATCTAATGGATAAATGAAACACTAGCATTCTTCATAAAAAGAATCACTGGATGACTTGCATAACAGAAAAACTACAAAATACTGCCATGCTAAAGTGCAATAACAATTTCTTTTTAACATATTTACACACAATCAAGGGAAAAGAGATACATCAACCCTCTGTCCCACAGCCAAAAAACATGAATGGATCATGGAACCCTGAAGATTTGAGTCTGACTGATTTTATAGTGCTTTGCACCAGTTGTGCATTCAGATCACAGGTTATCTAAAAGGAGCTTCTCCACTAAGTTCAGCTACCAGGCTCTGGCTTAATCTGCTGCACTGGTAGATCTCAGCCTGAAAAATTCAGAAATTAAAACCCAAAGCCTGCCTTTGGCCTCCAAAGGAAATAGTTAGCAAGTACATTATACTAAAATCACCACCAATGTAATGGTTACTTACCGAGAGAAACTCAAATGTCTTTTCTCCATAAAGTCGGTTAGCAGTTCTCAGTATGTATTTGGTGTTTGGATCATTAATCTTAGAGAGAAGTGATTGATATTCATTGTGAGCATCCTCAGCTTTGTTCAGAGAAAGCACCTGTGGAAAGATAAACATCCTCAGGGAAGTCCATGCCTTCCCTAAACACACTTGCTTCAGCACATTTTTTTTTTTTCTTTTTTTTAAATGACCTTTGGGTTTAAAAACTGTGACTTGAAGCCAAGAGATTTTTCATCACACTTCCCATCTGGAGCTTATCATGGAAGTCACATATGATGCACCCAGTTCTACGAGTAACAAATTAGGGAGCAGAAGAGTCAGCAGTATTTAGTTTCCTTCACTCAAGCCAAGCATTCAAGGATCACAGAACAGTTGAGGTGGGAAGGGACCTCTGGAGCCCATCTGGTACAACCCTCCTGCTCAAGCAGGGCCACCTACAGCTGGTAGCCCAGGGCTATGTCCAGATGGCTTTTAAATATCTCCATGTATAGCAATAATATAATACAGTTTTGGAGAAACTTTTATAGATTTATATGAAAACAATGCATGTGTTTATACTCCTCTTCCACTTTGCAAAACAGGCAAAAATAGTAACAAAAATCACGGATTATGCATATAATACTGTCAACTGCATACGTAAAGAATATGCAGAGTGGTATGTGCCACCTGAGCAAGTTTAAAAAAAATTAAACCAAGGTGCAGCTACCATTTTGACACGCATACAGGGTGGGTGTTTTAAATTATTTTAACACACCTGGCCACATTTTCAAAACATGTATAGTCTGATATTAAGCCCAAAGAAGATAGAAGAAGAAAATATTTTAGGTAGCTAGAGATTCATCAAACCTACAAAAAAATCCCAGGTAATTCTTAATGACATATCGAAGGAAGATCTCAATCTCAAAAAAGCAAAACCACAAAAAACCCACTACACCACAAACCCCAGGAATCTCTTCATTTCATACCGAAGGAAGCTCCCTCTATAGAAACAGGTACTGTTGACATAACTACCAAAGGAAGACCTCCACTCTCTAAGACCAGAATGACAATAACAGTTTAGCATAAGTGCAGGTCACAGACTATAATACAGATTTGTTGTTTATATGGTCCCATCAAATCCAATACACTAAGTTTACTTAGACATACCTTTGCTATTTGGGCTTCGGTGTTTTCTCTTGAACCCAACAAAATCATAGACAAAGCAGAAGAAATACTAAAAGGAGAAAAGAACAGATTCTGCCTGCTTTTATTCTCACACAGCTTTCTTAAGAGGTTAACTGCAAAAGTGGTATTTGCTGCACAGAGGCTATCCATGGTTCAGAGCCTGGGAGATAAAAAACACAAAACAAGGACTTCAATTTATTTGAACACAAACTGCTGTTATTTCTGGCTTTTACATTTCCCTGTATAAACTACGCAGCAAATGTCATAATTAGGTTGGAAAATTATCAACTCACTGGAAAACTGACTTGGTGGAACAAGCACCTTAAATCCCATAACAGGCACCTGAGTTATTCTAGGGATTTATCGCTTGCTTTTGTATTTCCATCCCATACCTGTAACAGACAGCAATTCCCACTGGTGTCATTAGACTCTTCACTGGGTAAATAATATTACCTCTTCTGAGACTATCAGATACAACAGTATTTTGTTTAGGAGTTTTTAAAACGAGTCTCTTTTGACTTCACAAAGACAATTATTTGCCTTCATAGGAAAACTAGAGCAAAAAGTTAGGCAACAGAACGGCAGAACTATAAACTCTTACCTTCTGAGTCTATATATCTTCAGCTTACTTATACGTGTGCACGCTGTGTTTCAAACAGTGAAATCAGTGCAGAAGTCAGAACAACTTGACCTACAAGCCTAAAAAAGGAGTCATCTCATCAGCATTATTTTACTGTAATTTCCTGCTGTAGTACAAAGAAAACTCAAAGTCCATTTCAGTTCCATTTTATTGCCTCCAATACAGAGACACACAATAAAAAAACCTGCTTATGGATAACTTTATGGTACATGCACACGCCAACATGTGTAACTTGATGCCTGTCACACTCTACATACATCAGCTGTGTAGGTAGGTAACTAACCCAAGATTAAACCACACACCTACAAAAGGAGTAACAAATACTAGAACACTGAGTTAACGACAGGTAAGTGTCACCAGACATCATAAGATAGCAGCTGGTAGTAAAAGTTTCTGTGTTTCGTTCTTCCCTTAAGGGAGTGTCTAGTGTTGATGTGTGAAATGATGATGTGAAATACAAACCCAACACCTAATTAATTCATACCGATTCATCATCTCAAACAAATAGGTGGTAAGAACAAATTTCTGCATGCATGATTTTCCACCTAAGAAAATCTCTTGCTAGTAGCTTTGCTATAAACAGCAGCAACTTTTCTGCTGGGTCTCTTCTCCCATAACTGGGGTGTCCTTGTTCGAGCTAAACCAGAACGAATTCTGTTCAGCAATTTTACTTTTCAGTTAAGTCTCTTCTCAGTAACTGCTCTTTCTGAAATCAACAGCATGTTTCTCCAGACAGTGTCTGCCTCTAGCAGTGATAGCGCTTGGTGTTCATAGTTAATACCAAGGAACAGGACGCAGGAAAGCTCTTGCTCCTACAGCAACCAAGCCAAATCCTAAATCTTGTGCCCCATGTTGGGGTGCTGTAAGTGAAAGGATGCTGAAGTAAAAGATTACACCTGCAGGGAGGAGCAAGCCAGACAGGTGACTCAAAACAGACAGACCAACTAAGTATGCCACCCCATATACATCATATTCAGTAAAAACCTGATGGATCATGAGGGTCAAGCTTCTTCTTCAATGGCCAACATCCAAGGAGGAGTCCATCCATTCTTCCGTCTGCGATCATGATCCTGAATCCAATTCCTGCATCCAGTTCCCTCTGCTGCCAAGTCCAGCCTGGGACCGCCCCAGTGCCAGCCCTTCAGCATTAGTTGTGACCTACTGTCATCAGGGCGGTTGGGTTCGGTAGTGGTTTCACGTATATTCATATATATTTTATTATTTTCTCAGTAATATTATTTATCTTTTCTTTTTATTGTTAATTGTTTCATTAAAGCTGTTTTAGTTTTCCAATCCATAAGTCTCTCCCTTATTCTCTCTCCCTTCCCCTTCTGGGAGGGAGAGTGTTAATAGATAGCATCTGTCATTCGTTAGTGGCCAGGCCAGCCCCAACCAGTGACACTGGGGAGATGAAAAAATAAAATAAAAAAAAGCTTAGATGGAAACAAGCCTTCAGTTCTGTCTGAAGCTACATGTACTTTACAGCACAAGTAAGAGGCACTTAACATTTTCAGTTCATGTTGGTTACAGCAAAGGCCAGAATTTTCCTACTGTCTTAACACCTGCGGATTGCTAGCAATAAGGTTTTTTGACTTGGAGGTCAAAATGCACAGGAATAGTGACAGCAACAAGCAGTTATGATCTAGAAAGTGATAGGCAAGGATTTATAGACAAAAGGACACAACTCAACACTATTTGCCTACCTGAAAAATCAGTGCACTTAACCAAATTGCAAGCAATATTTCAACAGCTGGGACACAAGGCTAGGGGTTCTATCTGTACAGTTACCCCTGCTTTCTCTGCAGCTCAGGAATAGCAATGTAACTACTGATACCTTTCTCATCAGAGCACATACACAACGGCAGCACTTTAAGGAACAAAAACCATACGATACAAGCACATATTTGTCAGTCAATTGTAAACGGTTTGCTACAAAGCGCTAAGCAATCGGAGGGCTTGCTGACAGCAACTCATTCCTCACTCTGGTCTCCCCATGGGCTCTACAGGTCAGTGGTAAGGCACTTGTGTGGAGGTTTCTGGACACCCCATGTGTTCCTACCACTATCACTCTGCAGCACACGTTCTCAGCAGCAGACTCCTATGCTTTAGGGCAGTCTTTACAGACAAAAAGGCTGTACCTAGACTAAACAGCACTCAGCCTCTCTCCCAGCTCCTGGTTTTGCCATGGGGGAGCCTGGCCAGAGCAGGGTCCAGCTCTCCTCCGGCCTGTCCCACTGAGACCTGAGACTGGGGTTAGCGCCCATCCATGTGGGTGCCTGCCCACCTCGTGGGAGCTGCCTCAGGGGAGCCCCAAGCCGACCATTTCAAACACAGCCAGAGGGGGAATAGGGTGACGATAATCTGGCTGTGTCCATCTCCACAGAGAAACCTGCATCTGTAGGATGGCTGTCCCTTTTCCCATGCTCTAAACCAAAGCAAGCTTTCTTCAGGGAAAAGGGCTTCATGTAGGATTCAGAGAGCTGGGAATGGCGTTAGAGCACCTGCAGGGCAGGATCGCTGACAGCTCCAAGTAACGGCTCTTCACATCACACCTCTCCAGGGGCAGGCGGTGGGACAGGGGGGCTGACACAGCTTCG